CAAGTGTAAATGATTAATTTTAAGGAGATTAAGGTAAATCGTGTTTAAGGGTATTGGACTGGGATTAGACCGAGATTAAAATATCGCTAATCCTAGGTCCACATAAAAAAAACTATAAATATAAGTCAAAGATAAAAGGTAAGTAGTGACATTTAGTGCGTATTTATTATTATCATTGTCATATTGAATTACCGAATGGTTCAATTACTGACTTTAACATCGAAGCGTCTTTAACAAGTACACCTCCAGACAGACGAGCAAAGAGAAACACATGAAGTGAAACCGAGCGGTGGAAAAAGACAAATTATGAAGGTGCAATCCCACCGAAGTTTATTATGTAAGTTAATTTGTCATGGATTTTATAAGTTAGAGTGGTATATTAACCTTTTAAGTCTCTTGAGTCGAGTTCCACATCTTTTAACTCACAGCGTCATGAGCAGGACAGAGTTAGTCACCATTTCAATATACTTATAATTCCTTTTTTTTTATTGTATATATAAATATTTTTTATATTTAAAATAAATATAAATATATAAAGATGATAACGAAAAACCATTGCTAATTTAATACACGTGTGCTATTTGTCTTACCCATCGTCAAATAAAGAATAAAAGTTAGTATTCCTCCTTCATTAATAATTTATTACTGTGTACTGAAACATGAAGTGGTGACAGAAATTGATGAAAGATTTGGGCATCATCTTCTTCAAGAGATTAATGGGAACATAGAAGTGATTAAAATGAATTATATATTGTGTAATTGTTTAAAATAATTAACTCGTCCCTGTGTGTATATATGTGTAAAATATCATGATTGTATAATTATAGAAATATATAAGGATGTAAAAATCAAAATTTATTTTATTTTTTTAACATATTTTAATATAGTTTATCTTTTAATATCATATTTGTTAAGTAATTGTCTTGCATCTCTTTTTTTAAGATATTTTTTTATTGTTTTTTAGTCAAATATGAAAATATTGCTTTTAATATAGTTTATCTTTTAATATCATATTTGTTAAGTAATTGTCTTGCATCTCTTTTTCTTAAGATATTTTTTTATTGTTTTTTAATCAAGTATGAAAATATTGTTTACACGATTTCAACTTATTTTTATTATAGTTTATTTGAATACAGACCATCTATGTTAAGTATATGAATCATGTCATCTTAAACATTAAACTTAATTTCATTGCGATATTCATATATACATTGATTGTATAATACTTGGTAGGTACGATCATATAAGCACTAATATATTGTATTTCATCATAGTTTTACTGTTAAGCGTGTTTGGATGAGAGTAATACTAATATGAGTGTACATTTTTTTACAATTTTTGTTTACTTTTAAATTCCTTTTTGTCACTATTTTTTTGCAACAAGTCCAAAAGTACTGCTTACACGACTTTATCTGTTAGTACAGTTTCGTCAGACCTAAACCATCTACCTCACGTCCCTAGACTTAGTGTCTCCCTAAGCATTGAAACTTATGCCCAGGACCCATATATATATATATATATATATATATTGAGGGTGTAATACTTTGTATGTGCGATCATATCAGCATTAATAGAACTTTACAGTTAAGTGTGATTGAGAAAGAGTAATATTAGGATGAGTGTTGTTGCTGTTTTTGCAACAAAATTTAATTGAAGACTTAAACTTTGTCCTAATTTTATCTTTAAGAGTCTATTCGCAAGAATTGATTTGTGAAAATGTACCATAGTGACGAAGGAATTTATAAATAATCTTATATTCACATGCAACAATTTTAGTGGATGCACAAAAACATATGAAAATGTNCCGCTCAAACGCTGACACGTGTGCTGTGTCGAAATGTTGTCAAAATTTGTTGTCTAAGTATCATTTTCCGATGGTAAAAACCCTACTTATTTTATTCCTATAAAACAGAATAAAAATATATATTATATTTTCTAACTTTTAATTTTTTTAACCTATTCGGATATCGTTATTTTTTACTGATAGTCCACCCAGACAATTTAGAATAAATTATTTTATTAATATCTATACTTAAAAGAGAAAAATAACAATTTTACCATGATAAGTTCAGAAAACTTAGCATATACATATTTGTTTTGTTCACATATTCTCAAAACTTTAAAATCATACTTTTTTCCCTTACAGTTAATTTTAGCATTGATAGATATACACTAACATTTACTTTTCATACTTAATCCTTTTGGTATAGCATACTAACACTATTTTACAGAATGGATAGTTTCACCCTTTATTGACATGTAAACCCTTTAACAGGTTTTACACCGATTAAAATAAATCAAAATTTGATTATAAAGTGACAAAAAAATTAACTTTTTCACTAAATTAAAATCAAAATAACTAATTTCATATTATTAAAAAAATATTTATTTTTAGAAACTTTGATTTCATCTATTTTTTTTAAGATTTGTTTTGCATGCTTTAAAACACAATAAGAAAATATTTCTAGATAAGTTAACATGGTTATTGTACCATATGGTCGAACGGCCATTAAAGTCCACAGGGACGCCCGATAAGGACAGACGGCATCACAAGTGTAAATGATTAATTTTAAGGAGATTAAGGTAAATCGTGTTTAAGGGTATTGGACTGGGATTAGACCGAGATTAAAATATCGCTAATCCTAGGTCCACATAAAAAAAACTATAAATATAAGTCAAAGATAAAAGGTAAGTAGTGACATTTAGTGCGTATTTATTATTATCATTGTCATATTGAATTACCGAATGGTTCAATTACTGACTTTAACATCGAAGCGTCTTTAACAAGTACACCTCCAGACAGACGAGCAAAGAGAAACACATGAAGTGAAACCGAGCGGTGGAAAAAGACAAATTATGAAGGTGCAATCCCACCGAAGTTTATTATGTAAGTTAATTTGTCATGGATTTTATAAGTTAGAGTGGTATATTAACCTTTTAAGTCTCTTGAGTCGAGTTCCACATCTTTTAACTCACAGCGTCATGAGCAGGACAGAGTTAGTCACCATTTCAATATACTTATAATTCCTTTTTTTTTATTGTATATATAAATATTTTTTATATTTAAAATAAATATAAATATATAAAGATGATAACGAAAAACCATTGCTAATTTAATACACGTGTGCTATTTGTCTTACCCATCGTCAAATAAAGAATAAAAGTTAGTATTCCTCCTTCATTAATAATTTATTACTGTGTACTGAAACATGAAGTGGTGACAGAAATTGATGAAAGATTTGGGCATCATCTTCTTCAAGAGATTAATGGGAACATAGAAGTGATTAAAATGAATTATATATTGTGTAATTGTTTAAAATAATTAACTCGTCCCTGTGTGTATATATGTGTAAAATATCATGATTGTATAATTATAGAAATATATAAGGATGTAAAAATCAAAATTTATTTTATTTTTTTAACATATTTTAATATAGTTTATCTTTTAATATCATATTTGTTAAGTAATTGTCTTGCATCTCTTTTTTTAAGATATTTTTTTATTGTTTTTTAGTCAAATATGAAAATATTGCTTTTAATATAGTTTATCTTTTAATATCATATTTGTTAAGTAATTGTCTTGCATCTCTTTTTCTTAAGATATTTTTTTATTGTTTTTTAATCAAGTATGAAAATATTGTTTACACGATTTCAACTTATTTTTATTATAGTTTATTTGAATACAGACCATCTATGTTAAGTATATGAATCATGTCATCTTAAACATTAAACTTAATTTCATTGCGATATTCATATATACATTGATTGTATAATACTTGGTAGGTACGATCATATAAGCACTAATATATTGTATTTCATCATAGTTTTACTGTTAAGCGTGTTTGGATGAGAGTAATACTAATATGAGTGTACATTTTTTTACAATTTTTGTTTACTTTTAAATTCCTTTTTGTCACTATTTTTTTGCAACAAGTCCAAAAGTACTGCTTACACGACTTTATCTGTTAGTACAGTTTCGTCAGACCTAAACCATCTACCTCACGTCCCTAGACTTAGTGTCTCCCTAAGCATTGAAACTTATGCCCAGGACCCATATATATATATATATATATATATATATATATATATATATATATATATATGAGTGCTTAAAATCTAAATGACTAAAAATTAGTTAATTTTAATAAAAAAATATAAAGAGTACCAAATTCAATATTTGATATAAAAATTGAAAAATCAAATTGAAATATTTATTGTATTTACATATTATATGTTTAAATTCTTATTGTATATTAGTTATAATATATTTATAGTTATTAAATTTTTTAAAATTTGCATTATAATTGTTAACTCAACTTATTTATTAAATGGGGAAAAGTTAAAATTAGGAATACAACTTTAATTGTAAAAATGTTATATATCTATTTAATACTCTTTTATTATAAAATGCTTAACTATTTACTAATAAAAATCGTTAAAAAATTGTTTAATTTCTTTAGAAATTTTATAATAAACTTTTTGAATAACAACTGGAACCATGCTCAGAAACACGTGTAATAACAGACGTATCATTAAATATAAACATTGGACATGAGATTGAATTAAGAGAAGACGACCAAAATTAATTCATTAAACATCAAGGGTAAAATTCAAATTTACTTATATTATAATTTTTGATAGAAATTCGTCCTCAAATTTAGAAAATAAATAGGTATAGCTATTGTAATGTAATTTTTAGCGGTTTGCGACGTATCATGTTTTATATATTATATAGTATTTCAAACTCAAAATGCTTATGTCGTTTTATACGTTTCAGATTATATATAAGTCTAAAATACAGTTTAAAATATAAAAGAATTTAACAAATTAAAAAATTATCTTTATTTTATTTTTAAAGTTTAAAATTATAGTTTTTTTTTAACTAAATTCCAATTTTATATTCGAATTTAAAATATATAGCTCGTTAATTTATTTACTCAGAGAGAAAGGACGACGTGACATCATGAACGAACCCTTATGGTAACAGATGATAATTGGGGTTAATAAAATGGAATACAAGTGATTGGATAGTGTAGTGACAGTGAGAAAAAAAGAAGAGAAGAAAAGAGAAGGGTTAGGCTTGAAAGAGGAGAGCATGGCAGATATTCTAAACCTAGGAGCCCCCCAAAGCTTAGGTACGAGGAAACACTCATGCCGTTCTCATTCCCATTTCACAAAGCATGATTCCATCAGCCAAAGCTGGTCTTCTTTGCAGCACAACCTCAAGTGCAGAGGCAGATTCCTGTGCCTTTTCTCCGATAACAGAAAACAGGTTTTTCTCTCAATTTCTCTTTCTCGCCGATTTCTTATTCCTTTCCTGCATCTCTGCATTTCAATTTCAACCCTTTTACCGTTTGTTTTGCCTTATCCATGCGTTTGGGAATGAGTTTTGACAACACTTGCTGAATTATCTTTCTGATAATGTATCATATGCTGTGCAGTGCACAATTCATTCTATTTATTTCAGTCATTTCATTTTCTGTCCCTTTTTGAATGGTCATTTGGTTATCGTAATATACTTATTTCTATTGTCACACTTTTCTGTCCCGTTATTTCTTTAACGTCCTACGTTCACAAGTATAGAGTATAGTTGATTTTATAGTAATATGTTAAAACTTCCTTTTCAACTTGTTAGATAATTTACAGTCACAAATAACGCTTACTACCTTTATCCATTCTAGCTTGTATCCCATGATGTATGACATTTTCATTAGTTTCCTCATTGTTTTGTAATATTCATCCTCCGTACTTAGATATAGAAACCTTTTTGACATAACATCTTCTTCAATTTTACCTATTAGTCATTTTCTTTTTGTTTCTTACTAATTGCAATGTATGTATTCTGTTTGCAAAAAACCTTTGATTTCAATGTTTGTCTCCAAGGCTCGGATTTATAGTTAATCTTTATCATTAATATCTTTATATCATCCTCACAAAAAATACATTTAGGGATAATCCTTGACTTAATTGCACTCCTTTTCTCAATTCACGAAATTTGTTAACTATTTTTTTCCTTGAATTTGATGCCCCCTCTATTTTAATTGTTCAATTCTTGTTTATTCGATAACTTGATCTAATATTTAACAATGATGTTGGTATGACACTCTAATACACTGCCTCATCAACACATCCACGAGTGACACTCTACTGCAATGCTACGCTAGCATTTATGTTTAATATTGGCTGTTAAATATGGATACAAATTACAGAATAAGGTAGAGGGGGATCAAATTTGCCAAAATTAAACATGAAGTGGTGAAATTCGCGAAATTGAAAAAGTAGGGGAACTGAAAGGCAATTGAATGAATAATCTTTTGTATGTCCCGAGTAAGTACATTCCATACTCTATTAAACATGTAAGAACTTTAGAGTGGACTCCGAAGTAAACCCATCCCTGTTCTATTATGTTTTTATGGGAGGAAATAAAGCAAGGATAGTGATACATTTCTTCTGTTTTTGTTGTTAAGAAAAAATATATATGCTTTTCATATTTACTTTAATTTAATTTTAAATTTTTTCTTTCCTTCATCATTTTCCCTCTACCATGCCAAATATAGTTTAGTCTTCCAATAATTCTCACTCTAATTGTTACCCTATTATTTTATCTTGTATGACTTAGATACAAGTCACCTGAATTATTTTCTTCTCGAAAGCCTTCTGTGTTTTTTATTTGCAATTCTCAGTAAGCCACGAGAAAAGGCCACCATGTAAGTCATTACTTCAACCAGTCAAATGTGAAACCAGAGAAGTGATCTGCAACCATCTAAACCCAGTCTTTGTTCTCTTATCTTTATCTGTAAACAAGCTACAGACAAGAAGCAGCATGTTAATGGTGTCCAACATCCACTCGCCAGCATAAACAACTTTAAAACTGATGGGCAATCCAGGTAACACAAGAGTCAGTCTCAGCTGGCTTTGTTGTGTCTCCGAATACAGCATCATCTTCTCAAACAATGGCACTGTTTTTGTGCGACCACTTTCAGTGATTGCAAAGCATTGAAAATTAGCATTTGACGAAACCAGTTCTCTTCTATTGCTCATCTCATCTCCCATTTGTAGAGCCTATTATCAGCCAATCCTAACAAAGTTGATTTTGAAGAATCAAACTATGATCTCTTTTGTGTCGTAGGTGTTATTCCTTATTCTGTTCAGCAAGCTCCATCTGGTCTGGTAATTTGGTAAAGCTTCAAAATGTGGTGTCTCTCATTTTTTATGGGTGGTTTGCTGAACATACCCATTATTAATAAATTGCTGACGTCGGCTGTTGGTTTAGCAACATTTTGTAATTAATTATATTTATATAGCAAAATAGTTTGGTCAGTTAGTCGAGTGATACACAGTTCAGGGTGAATTACAAATTTTGTAATCATATTTATATAGCAAAATAGTTTTAAGATGGTTTCATGGATATAGGCAAGAAGAGGTGTCAAACCACGTCAATTATTCTGGGTGATTTCATTGGTTTATGTTATTTTTCCCAGCATCAATTTGAGTATTGAACAATAATTGAGCATTGAACCCGACAACGATGTGTTTTTGTGGTCTGAGTGTGCCAAGGTTTTGAAAGCTTAAATCCATCTTGAGGTCCTTTCCTTCAAGCATTTTGATATCTGCATTGTCAAGCCAAAGATTTGATAATTATCAGAGTTTGGCTGGGGTTGCAAATGATCATCAGGTGTTGAGGTCAAAGTTCATAAATCTCAGAACAAGAGAGGAGTTCCTTAGAACTAACTCGGAGAATTGAAAGAATAAAAGATGATGATATAAGAATGATTTGCATGTATTTATAAAATACAATGGAAGCTAAACTATAACAGAATGATGCATGAAGTCACTGCTAATTGACTTGAGCTTATGCGAGTTAGTTTCTATTACTTGTCTTATCACTATTAGATGTCAAGGTGGTCCAATAATGGAATTCTGTTTTTCAATTCCTTTTCCTTTTGGATAACATTTGGAAGATGCCTTAGTTAACAAAAATCGGTTTGTTTGTTATTTAGTCTAATTATTCTGCTGGCCTCGTCATGTTGTGCAGGTACAATTTTCATGAAAAGTATAAAAATTGAATCATACTCTTGTTTGTAGAAAAAATTATATTCTCACTATCAGTTTATATTGATATAATAATAAAATTTTGACGTCATGGTTGACTATCCATGGAAATAGTTAATGAGTAAAATCTATTTTGAATCTTGTGATAATGAACTATGTTTAGTCCTTTATGCCTCACAAAACTGGTATGAGGGGAAATACAAAACTGAAAGAGAATTTGGATTGCAGGAACAGGCTAGAAAAGCATTAGAAGGTGCATTAAGTGGTAAGAAAAATGAATTTGACAAGTGGGATAAGGAAATTAAAAGAAGAGAAGAGCTGGGAGGTGGGGGTGATTCCGGTGGAGGTGGTTGGTTTGGGTGGGGTGGACGGTTTGGCTGGTCTAATGATGATAATTTTTGGCAAGAAGCGAAACAAGCTGGTCTTACTATACTTGCTCTCGTTCTAGTGGTAAGAAGTTTCCTCATTCCTGTCTTAACTCACTTTCTGATATCCAGAATTCATATTTTATTGTAAGTACCAACGTAGCCTACAATAAAAATTCTATTTTTCCTTCTCTGCTTTTCAGTATCTCCTAGTTGCAAAAGGTGATTTGTTCCTTGCTATCATTCTCAATCCATTGCTATATACACTTCGGGGAGTGAGAAATGGGTTTAGTTTCGTAACATCTAAAGTCTTGAAAAATACTTCTACCAGCAATCAGGCTGATTTTGATGGACTTTCAAAGAAGAAATCTTATCAGCAAACTTCTGCAAAGGAGAATGTTGTAAGAAAATGGGGCAGTGACTATTGAGTCATTCATCCCTTAAAGGTTTGGCATTAACGCCTTGATACAGTATGTTATTTCACACCCTCTTAATACGTTCAACATCACGTTTGCTCCATGCAAATATTAGTGCAGCGATTTTTGTTGTAACACAGATTGTTTATTTCCTTCGCACCTAAACAACGGTTAAATTTTGTTTAACGCTTTCATGATCCTGAGAAGTTAGTTAGAATTGAAAGTGTACTTTTAAATTTTATTAGCAGCTGCTGATTGATTACTTTCGTATTGTATCAAATTTTATAAAAGAATGTCATGAAAGTTTAAGATCAAGTAAGAAAACAGATTTTCTGTTGGCTCCAACACTTGTTTGCTGTACAAACACCTGAAAAATGGTCCCCAAAAGATGCCTGGTGATTTTCAGTTTTCTGTAAACCCGTGTTTTTATGATTTGTATTGTTTTTCTTGATTATTTGGAATGCAGTCCTTACATTGTATGACCTGTCATTGAATCATTGCTGATTTCATTTTCATATGAGCTGTATCTCATAATACAAGCATTTAAGTCCACCTTCTGTCTGGGGTTAATTTCTGTCCCTATCAGCCACTCAGGGGCTTCATGAGAACAGGGATATACTAAATTAGGCATGGAGGACACGGTCCAGGATGACCTGTGAGCCTGGACATCCCAGATCTTGATAGAAGGCAAAGTCACATGAATAATTTTATACTTTTTAATTATCTTTAAAGACAGTTGATGCAAGAATTGGTTGTCTGCATCATAGTATCTATGTTTCCTATGATAATTTTATCTCGTGTATAATACTTTTTATTTAAGCAAAATAAACTAATTTAACACTTATTAAAAATGGTTATTAGGTCCATGTGATATTCTTGATCATGTGTTAAATATCATTCCTATATTAAATAGACAATTATTTTGAAATAGCAATATTAAATAAAGCTTTGAGAACTCAATTTGAATCCAGAGGGAGAACTGCATTCGTACATCATGTATTCAGGCATGTAAATGAATATACGGGCTGATAATGAAGTTTCGATTCGAAACCAGGGTTTTCTTCCTGCACTCCGTTGTTTTCTTACTGCTCCCCAACTTTTAGAGCATTTCTCATTTTACCCCTACAAAATATATATTAAATAAATAAATTATTATTAAATGTATGATATGAGATGTATGAAATTTGGAACCATTATTAGTTTTGTTCATGACTTTATCGGTTTCTGATTAATAACATGGAAATTTACATAAAAAGAAATTAACATTTGATTTTGAAATATGATAATAAAAAAATTATATTTAATTGAATTTCGAAATTTAATGCCACAAGTTAGATTTTGAAATCAAGTAAAAATAAATTAACACTTAATTTTGAAATCAAATAAATATAACTAGAGTGTCAATTTTTGTTTGTTCACTAAATTTTAAAATCCTATTGTTTATTGAATTTTAATTTTTTTTATTGGATTTTAAAATCTAATTATATGAATTTTTGTGTTTGTTAATTGAACTTTGTAATCCAATGAAGTACTTAAGTTTGTGTGCAAAATTTCATACACCTCATTATGATAATAATTATTTATTTAATATATATATTTTGTAAGAGCAAAATGAGAATGCCTCAAAAGTTGGGATGCAGAAGAAAACAATGGGGAGTGATTCTCCCTGCACCTCACCGCCTTCGTCCTGCACCTCCAAAACATATTTTAATTCAAATGATACCCTTCGTCTTTCATACACTTAACGAGAATATTTTGAATCTTTTAAAAAGTAAACTGCCTGCCGCATCTCAAACTCAAACCCTACACCCCTTTCCAAATCAGTTCTCCCTCTTTTTCAATCCCTCATTCTGCCATTTTTCTCTCCCCCGTATTCTGCCATTTTTTCTCCGGGTTCCCTGTGCCAAGCTACGTTCGTGTCGTGCCAAGCTACGTTCGTGTCGTGCCAAGCGTTCGTCCTTCGTGCTTGCGTTCGTCTGTTTTTCACAGTGAGGTTTTTCTAGCGTCTAGTACCTTCCATTTGCAAAACCTTCCATCTGCTTTGTTTGCTGTTCTATGCATGTGCTTGGTTGGGTGTTCGCTTCGTGCGCCGGAGGTTGGTTCGTGTTCGTCGCCGGAGAACTTAAACGCCGTTGGAGTTGCGGTCACAGACGTTCGCAGTTGGAAGTGCGGTCAGGTGCACAGAGAAACCGCATTTCGAAGGCAAAAACAAACCGCAGTTCGATCTGCGGAAAGCACAAACCCACCCACCGCAGTTCGAAATGCGTAAAGCACGGAGATCTCACCGCATTTCTATCTGCGGCTGAGACAAACCACACTTTGAAGTGCGTTAGATTTTTAGGGTTTAGTTTTTTTATTTTTTTATTAGGTTAGTATATATTTATTTTATTAGGTTTTATTTTTATTAGGTTAGTATAATAAATTTAATTTTTTATGTTAGTTGTTAAATAAAATTTTTTGTTTTAATATATTTTGAATTATTTTATTTGTTTGTTAAATTTTGTTGAATTTGTTATTTTTCAACATATTATTATTTTCGTAATATATTATTTATTATGTATTTAATTTTATTTAAGTTTTTTAATTTTTTATGAAATTGAAATAATTATTAAATTGTTTATTGAATTAAATAATAATTATTATATGTAATGTTAAATATTATTTTGGATTTATTTGTAATAATTTAATTATTATATATGTAATTTTTTTGGAATTCGTACCATAAAAACGTGCACATAAATATTGCGACCACTAGGAAACGCACTTCGAAGTGCGGTTAGGAAACAACATAAATATTTAAAACGCATTTCGAAGTGCGACCACTAGAGAAGGCACTTCGAAGTGCAGTTAGGAAATAATTAATTAAGTTTTGATTTTTTGTTAAATAAAGGGTAAAAAAATAAAATTGGGAATGCAGACCAAAGACAGTGAGGTGCAGGGAGAATCACTCAACAATGGGGTGTAGGAAGAACCCCTTGAAACCACCTCTCTCCAATCTCTGACAAGCTAGGCTGCAGGAAGACTTTTCATTGTTATTACCAACCTCATTGACAATTATGTTTTCTTGTTGAGTTCTATTTTTTTATTAGACACACTTTATTTAACCAAAATAATCTCCAGAGATTATTGTGTACGATTGCGTTAAATACTCTGAATATTAAATCAACTGATGAAATTGTAGTTGATTTTATGACAGTTTTCAATTGATGATTAGTCAACAATTTTAGTAGAGCCAAATGTAGCTAATTTCAACCTCACCTTTGAGCTAAAACTACAGACAGAAAATTTTCAGAACCACGACCACGAAAGTAATACATGCAAACAACACTGTTGCTTCTGTGTTTAAGGTTTTTGGTGAAAAGTGACCACGACCACGGAAGATTGTCAAATGAACGTGTTTTTCACAATATTTTTTTTTAATCAACGTGACGAGCTTGAATACTTTATGTTTCCAAACGTCAATAAATAAATATTTTATAAAATAATTATGGAAAAATTTTATTCTTTGAATAGTTGTCATACATTGTTTAATCCATGTTTCAGCGAAATGCGAGACTGCACGCAAACATCTGCAATGGTGGGAATATCTTGCCCATATATTATATCTGCAATAATGTCATGTTTTAATAATTATTTTTTAAATTAAATGGATTGTTTAAAAAGGTTATTACATGAAAATATGACGTGTAAAAATCTTCCTAAAATACGTGACTTCAAATAAATATAATAAGATTTCTCTCAGTGGTCAGTTTTATTAATGAAAGCAAACGATTATATAATTTGGCGGGAGAAATACAAAGACTTTAACATCACAAGCATTGACGGTTGCAGTTTTGTTGAATTCGACCCTTTTAGTTTTGATGTATTTACTTTGCCAGAAATCACTGTTTTAATTCTCATTATTTTTCATAGTCGTTAATGATTTTATTTATTTATTTTGAATCACCAATTTCATCTTGCTTATATGATACGAGATAAAAATATGACAATGAGTTTAATTATGACAAAGGAGGGAAAAGATACGGAAAAAGAAAGCCAACAATTTAGTTTTTTAATTAAGGATTTTTTTTTTATTAAAAGCTTTTATTATTTTTAATTTTAATCTAACTATTGTAATAGTTTGTTCACATTTTTCACTAGAATATTATTATTACTATTATAATGAGGTATCCTTTTTTTAAAAAACTTAGGTGACCAGCCTGTATTATATTGTGAAATCTTACCATAAAAAGAAGTGAAAGAGTCAAACTCTATGTTTAGTTCACCAGAACTCAAAACTCAAACCATATGTCATTATTAATTTTTTTTTTGTGATTTTGTTTTATATATGTTTGGTTGGTCTTCTTGGTTACTATCTTGGGTTTGAATGGTTTTTTAAAAATAAAAATAATTTATTTTGAGTTAGTGCTAGAAGAGTGACCTTCACGACGATGATGATGAGGAGGAGGAAGAGGAGTCTCTCCCATTTTTGTCGTTGAATATTTGTGAATTGCGGATCACCACAAGACCATTTCCTTCTCTCTTTGCAATCTTCACCTCTCTTCTTTGCCTTCTTGCTGCAACCCTTTCTTCTGCAACGCACTTCAATTCTCTCTCACTCTATCTATCTTCGCACAACCCTTTTGCACGTTGGAGCGGATTTCAATTCTCTCTGATCCTGTGTCTCTGGCTAGCTAGCTAGGTGGTGGTTCTCGTCAAGCTGCCATCTGGGTTTCGCCACCGTTGATGTCTTTGGCCATTGGGGTGGTTTCCAACGGCAAAAAGCATGGGTTTTGATGACAAAGGCAAGGAGGGTGCACCTGAAACGCAGCAGGCCGGAAAAACGGCTCACGAGGAGGAAAGTGGCGACGAACGAGGGACGAGTCTCAGTAGACACATGAGTGAAGGCTCCGCTGCTGTCACCGAGGATGAAGAAGAGGATGTCGAGAGGAAGATCGACTTGGGTCCCCAGTGCACTTTGAAAGAGCAACTCGAAAAGGATAAGGTTCGCTCTTAAACATCTACGCTTTTCTTTATTCCTTCCACACTACTTACATGCAATTCTTTCAGTTTTATGTACTTTTTCAAAATAAAGATTTTCATCGTTTATGCGTTTTCTGCTTGAGATCTTAGGATGATGAGAGCTTGAGGAGGTGGAAGGAACAGCTTCTTGGCAGTGTTGACATTAACGCTGTTGGTGGTAATTACCTGTTCAGTTTCTTTCTGTTTTCTCCACATTATCTTGAGACAAAACAAGCCTTCAGTATGCAGTAATTATTATTACACTTTTGATCAATATCCATATGATTATCTCAGACAATGTAACAGTTTTCCTAGTAGTGTACGATAGAAAAAACAAAATGGTGTATGTTTTACTGTGAATTGATAGAGACAAAGAAAGAATCCGTGGTGGTTCCATGTTTTTGTTTCTTCCTTTGGCTATTGCATCATAGACTTATAACTCGTGAGATGTTTTTATGAATGCGATTAAGAATCTCTGGAGCCGGAAGTGAAGATCCTGAGCCTTGCAATCAAGACAGCTGGTAGAGAAGACATTGTTCTTCCCATACCAGAGTCAGGAAATCCGGAGGGTTTATGGTTTACTCTGAAAGAAGGAAGCCGTTACAGTCTGATGTTCACTTTCCAGGTGAGCCATAATATTGTTTCAGGTCTCAAATACACCAACACTGTATGGAAAACCGGTCTCAAGGGTAAGTTTTCCCTTTCAAATCATTCCAACCAAAGAGACCATTAAATTACGAATCATTAACTTGACTTGTACATATCTTGTTACAGTTGACAGCACCAAAGAGATGATTGGAACATTCAGCCCTCAAGCAGAACCTTACACGCATGAGATGCCCGAAGAGACAACACCATCAGGGCTTTTTGCTAGAGGGACATATTCAGCTAGATCCAAGGTAATGTAGTTAATACTTCCTTAGCACTAAACATATGAGGTTAACATTTCAAAATTGTTTTTTCATATGACTCCATTCAATGATCCAAGCCTGCATTGGTCACGAGATCCACCACCAGTGCATTAAATACGAAAACTTAGCCTATCCTAAATTCTTGTCTGTGTCCAAATGTCAGTGTAGATGTTGTGACTTGTTTCGAAAATGAAGTTAGCACATATTAATCTCTTTGGCATCAATCATCTCACCATTAAATGCTCTAATAAATTTGTTGCCAGGTTTCATGTGTACTCATTTAACCACTCACTGTTAATTATGAATTCAAATTCGGTGAGAACTATGATGTTGGAATATCTGTTATAATATATTTATTTATCTGTCATAATATGTATTTTTTGTATTAACAGTTTGATATTTGATGCATAATTATTTGACCTTGTATTTTGTGTGATGTTTTTCAGTTTGTCGATGACGATAACAAGTTGTATTTGGAGATCAACTACACTTTTGATATTAAGAAGGATTGGGCTTAGGAGTGAACTCACCTCTTCCACCAATGATGCTTAATCATTAGTTCTTGTTATTTGAGTTGAATTCGCCTTCACTGTTTACTTGTTTCTTTCTTCATTGTTTATTTATCTCTAATCTTGTTTAAAACCAGTAATTTTAGCAATAACAAAAAGGATTTAGTTTGGAGGAAGAAATTCATATTATTCATTTGGCGGATAATTTTCTCAACATGTAGTTTCTCTCTTTGTAATAGTTTTAATTAAATATTTTTGTTCAAAATAATAAATATTAATATGTTATTTCTAATATATAATAAAATTATTATATTAATATCAAAAAGTTAATTTTATTTAAATTTCATTCATTACAGTGAGTATATATATGTTTCATTTTATTTGTAGTGATTGGAACATGTGTACAAGAGTTAAGTATGAGTAGTATCTGTCCTAACAGCTATGTTGTTAAAATATATCATAATGTTTTTGTAATTATATATATATATATATATATATATATATATATATATTATTTTTAAAAATTTTATATAAATTTATTTAAGAAAAGATATTTAAAATATAAGTTTAGATAAAAATAATTTTTAAGTATAATTTAAATTAAATTATTCAATAAAATGTTAATACAAATAAATTTAGTATTTTTCAATGTATAAATTTAAATAAATAAAAATATATAAAATCCAAATTTAAATTATGATTATTAATTTTATTTTGATTATTTATTTTTTTTAAAAAAATAAACTTAAATAAAATTAATAGATGTATGCTAATCAAATGATATGATTCCTACACTTCTGCCAATAAGCCAGTAATTAAACATCTATATTTATTATTCACAGTGATTTATTACTCATCATAGATTTTACTCGCATATTTTATAGGCATAAATTTACTTTGTCGTGTATAAAATAAAGTTGAAATATATTTAGTATAAACACGTACAAGTCTTCAATTATAATAATAAATATAAATTATTATAAAAGCTATATTTTAAAAGATAATCATTAAAAATAGTTAAAATTATTATAATATTGGTTTAATAGGTTTGGAGGTCCTTATATTTGTGGGTTCGTTTCAATTGGGTCCTCCAATTTTGAAAGTGATCAATTTGATCCCTAATTTAACAAAATTGAGTCAATAATACCCTTTCCGTTAAATGCAATGGACGACATTAACGTTTTAAACATGTGGTATGTTGAAGCATCCTTCAAATAAAACTGTGCAACCTGCAAATAAAAGGATGCCTCAACATGCTACATGTTTAAAAAGTTAACGCCGTCCATTACATTTAACGGAAAGGGTATTATTGACTCAATTTTGTTAAATTAGGGACCAAATTGATCACTTTCAAAATTGGAGGACCCAATTGAAACGAACCCACAAATATAATGACCTACAAACCTATTAAACCTATAATATTTAAAGAATAAAATGATTAATAAAGTGGTTTATATTGATAAGGATGAAATGAGTAATAAAATATGTAAGAAGAGACTAATAGTTATCCAAATCAATTTTCTTTATTACCAGTTATAATTAAAAGTTATAATAGTTATAAGTAATTAAACTAAGGAGTATACTAATTATGAGACTCTTAAAAGGTTTTAAACGAGATGTCGAACCGATTTGAGGAAGCTAAAACATGGTTAACTATTAATAAATGGAATCCGAGTTGAAATATAAAATCCCACCCGCCAAAAATTGCAATTGCAAGTGAGTTAGAGTGTTAAACCCTAGACTGTTAGTTTTTGGTATTGAAAGGCAGAAGATGTCGATTGACCTGCTGTTGAAGCCAACGTGTGGCGGATGTGGTTCAACCACCGATCTTTATGGAAGCAACTGCAAACACATGACTCTGTGCTTGACCTGTGGCAAGAACATGGCGGAGAACAAGGCAAAATGCTTTGATTGTGGCGCCATCGTTACTCGCTTGATTCGAGTTCGATCTGTGTTCCCGTTTTCATTTTTTTCTTGCCCCTGCATTACCTGTTCTTGTTTTCTTTTTCTGAATCAGAATTAAATTTTCTTGGATGACATTTTAATTTTCTTTCAGTTCATTCCAGTGTTGTGACTAAGTTGTGAATCCGATTAGAACTAGGGTACACCGTTCTTGTTTTTGGAAGCGAGGGATTAACGTGATTTTTTGTGACAGGAGTATAGCGTTCGCGCTACCTCTGGTAGTGACAAACATTACTTCATTGGGAGATTTGTATCTGGTTTGCCTGACTTTTCGAAGAAGAAAAGTGCTGAAAACAAGTGGTCCTTGCAGAAGGAGGGATTACAGAGCCGCCAAGTTACCGATGCTTTGCGGGTATTGAACCTATAATCCAATGTGCAATTACTGTTCCACTCTTATATTCTTCATCATGACTGTTTACGATTGAGTATGTCTGAAAGTAGTGCTTGAGTATCATATTTTATAATGGATAAGATATTCCCATGGAACTGTAGTGAACATTTTAGTCATGTGGACATTGGGTCATGAATTGCTGTTGAATTGTGAGGGATCATTGTGTTTATTTCCTGAATAAACTTCTTCTTGCACTACATAGGAGAAGTACAAGAACAAACCATGGCTCTTGGAGGACGAAACTGGTCAGTCTCAATTCCAGGGTCATCTCGAAGGTGCACAATCAGCTACGTATTACCTGCTCATGATGGAAAGAAAGGAATTTGTTGCCATTCCTGCTGGTTCTTGGTATGTTGGTTCTGTTAAAGTTGAGAACTTTGTTTTTCTGTAATAGGGATGTTCCAATGTTTATTTATGGGCAAAATTCGTTATGTGGTCTTCCCAAGCTAACGAAAATGTTTTATTGGATATTTATTCAAGTACATGGTAGAATAGATTACTAATTTTTAAAAACATTATTTTCTTTGATACGGTTGAAGAGGTACACGATTATAATATCGTCACTCTTGCAAAAGGGTTATCAAAACCCAGAAAAGGGCAAGCTTGGTAACTTAGACAAAGGGACAAATTTTTCAAATGTCTTTCCTCAGAAAATATCAATGGCAGTTTTGATTCCCTCAATAACAAGGAGTGAACTTTTTACCAAGTAGAAGGTAAAAAGAGGAAAAGAAAGAAACATAAATGTGTGGTGCGGGTACGTATTATTGTACCTCTGCCAACCAGTTTTATGTACTTTTAGGTAGTTGACTTTGAGCAACTTTGGATATGTTTCCTCCTATGATGTTTCCTAGGAAGTTGAGTGAGGCCAAATTAATTACAAAGGTCTAGTGTTTGTTTGAGGGGGAGTAGGGGTGGCAACCGGTCTGGCCCACCAGTGGGCAGGGAGTTGTTTTCAGCTGGTAGACCTTTCTTAGAATATTAAATTGATTTATTAAAATTAAATGTGTTTTTAACATATCTATATAGATAAATAAAAAAAAATGGGTGTGCCAACAGGCCAGCCTGCTCTTTGGCAGGTTAGACCAAGGCTCCTAACCTGAATGGTTAGGATTGTAAAATCTTTTAATGTACTATATTGGTCATATCTCTCTTTTGATCTCAAAATTAATCAATAATTTATATTTATAGGAAAGAAAATTGTAATCAATAAGGGGCCTCTTAGGAAAATATTTAGTAAGTCTTAACATGTTAAATATCATTTATCAAGTAGTGATTACCACTTTTTTAATTCTTTTTAGAAAATAGTTTTGGTAATTAAGAATGTGTTTGAGACCTAAAGTGAGGGATACCTCCATCACCCAAAAGTCTGGGAATATTGCTTGTCAAAGACAGTAGACACATGTGATATTGTATGCTCTTTCTTCTTTATGTTTTTTAAATTTAGGTACAATTTTAACAAAGTTGCACAATATAAACAATTGACATTGGAGGAAGCAGAAGAGAAAATGAAGAACAGAAAGAAAACTGCTGATGGATATGAAAGATGGATGATGAAAGCAGCAAATAATGGCCCAGCTGCATTTGGTGAACGTGGGAGGTTTGATGACAAGGAGATCATTGTGGGCGGAGGAGGGAAAAGCCGTAAGAAAACTGACGAAGATGATGAAAGCCATGTATCAGATAAAGGAGAAGAGGATGAAGATGAGGAGGTAGCAAGGAGGAGTAGACTTGGACTAAACAAAAAAGGTGGTGATGATGATGAAGAAGGTCCGAGGGGAGGAGACCTTGATCTGGATGATGATGATATCGAAAAGGGTAGGCAATTGTCTTGCTTGTACTTTCTATTTTCTGATAAAAATGGCTGTGATGGTTATTATTTTAAGTGCTGGTTTTATGCAGTGATGATCTCTTTGCTGTAAAATTCCATGCCATATATATCTGAATGGGTATGTGCCCTTACTCAGGTTGGAGATAGATAAATTAACATATTGGGGATGATAGGATGCAATTCTTTTATATTATATACCATGCCTCTTTTTAAATGAAGTCTAGTACATCGTTCTCAGTTGCTTCCTTGATTTTTTCATTGTTTTGGAGGTTTAAGCCTAGTGTTAAATTGCAAAATCAAACAAATTCTCTAAATGAATCAAACTGAGGAGTTGAGACTTCATATTGTTAGGTTTGGACTTTTGTGTATTTTGCCTTTGATGCGGCTGGATTATGTGGCTAGATCCAACCGGAAAGCACTAGCTGATAGAAAACCAAAAGAAAAAAATAATTATTCTATTATTGAAAGGAATATAATTACACTCAGTCCACTACTTAATGCACCTCATCAGAGCCTCAGTTCCTGTAACAGTGTTCTCTCTGCCAGAGAAAAAACCTTACTCCTGCGTCCAAACTCAATTTCATGCCTTCTCGTCGGCTCCTATAAACTGCCACACTGGCTGATAGGATTTAATATGATAGGTTATAATGGGTATTAGGTGTGCAGGAGAGAGAAAACAGTTGAAGAATTAATTGTTCAATTTAGGAATTAATTGTTGTTGGGTAGTTAGAAGTGGGCTGCCTTTATAAGAAGGCAAGGGAGGGTCTGGTAGAGGGGGAGTTTTTGATATCAATTGTATAGACAGGAACCTTGATCCTGTGGAGGGGGATTATGCTCCCAGTTACTGGTTGTACATGACATTGGTTGATGTGAATACATATTTTCATTCTTTTCTTACCATTTGGG